ATTTGTAATGCTAAGAAACCTCCAAAGTGAAATGGATGTTTTATGGTTAATTAAATACTATTTTAAATAAAATAAGGTTTTATAATTACAAAGATTACAAAATGATTAATTTTATTATAGTTTAATTTGTAGAATTACATTTAATTACAATTAATACATTATAATTATTTATTTTTTTTTTTTTTTTTTAACCAAAGATGCTCAATTTACAAAGATAAAAAACAAAGAAAAGCACCAAATTCTCACATTTTACTTTTAAAGTGATGAATTGATTATAAAAATGATTCATGGTTAGTTTTGAGACGTTTATCAGTTAATTAATTGATAATTCCTGTGTGATTTCTTGGAGACATTTCAGGAGGATTTTATCATTTAGGGAAATGAGAATATGACGTTTATGTAGACACAGTAAACATGATTTCTTCCATAAAAGATAATAAAGATCAAATAAACCATCATGTGTCTGCATTAAATACTAACTGACGTGTGAGATGAAGGTGGGAGATTGTTTCTCGTCGCTCTGCAGTAGGTTGTGTCTGTTCTTTGTGAGATACTTCATCAGTACCTCTCCTGGCCTTTCTGTTCACAGTCTCTGGACTCCAGCTGTGACATAGTGTGTCTAAAGGAGAGGATTCAGAAGTCCCAGGAGGAGCGCGAGAAAAGAGAAGAGCGTCTGCTGCAGACCCAAACACACCAGCAAACGGGTAACCTACTTGGCACATAATACGCAGACATGCACACAAACAAACTGTACAGTTGTTCCCACTCACATCTGATCGTTATCTCGAGCATTAAATTTAGGTCACATGGTGTGAAACTTGAGCAATTACCACACTTATTGACGCACTCTCTCTCTCTCTCCCTCTCTCTCTCTGCCTCCTTTCCACCTCCTTTGCTGTCATCGTGTCTGTTTTTAGATATGGAAGAAGAGGAGGAGATAATTTTCTTCGCAGACCCCACGCGTTTTATCACAGACCCTGACTTCTGCTATCAGGAGTTTGCTCGAAGGGAGGAGGACCACTTTCAAGTATTTAGAGTTCAGGTGAGGATGTCAGTACATCTGTATGTGTTGCTGCCGGAGGAAATACTGGTAATGGGACACCTCAAATAGCTTAACACAGTTTTAAATCAATACTCTTGATGTCTGTATTAGATTGTAACCTTCCCACTTCAGGCCACTAAAAACCATTAAAATAAATACAATTCTTTGGTTGAACTGGTCACAAATGGAATTCACTGCTGTACTTTAATATTTGATGAGTTAATTGTGACTGCGTATCCAAACCCTACAACACTGACTGTGAGGATGTGTTGTATTTGCTCTGCAGGACTATTCATGGGAGGACCACGGCTTCTCCTTAGTCAACAGGTTGTATTCGGACATCGGGCACCTCTTGGACGACCGGTTCAGGAGTGTGACCACTCTCCCCTCGCTGCACAGCCCCGACTTGAAGAGGTCGATCTGGAATTACATCCATTGTGTGTTAGGAATACGGTGAGCGACTATACCTTCTTTATTTTACTCCTATAAGAGCCCTACTTCTCTTTGTGTTTGGTAGATAAATAAATGTTTCTTTGTGGTCACAGGTATGATGATTACGATTACGGAGAAGTGAACCAGTTGCTGGAGCGGGATTTGAAACTGTACATCAAGGCTGTGGCCTGTTTTCCCGATGCCACCAAAACTCCAGTGTGTCCTCTGAGCTGGGCTCCACTTAAGACTTCAGAACGGGTAAGAAGACCTTCACGTTCCACTGGTTAACCTTCAATCCTCTCTCGGCAGTCTGAATCATTTCTTTTATTTCCTTTCCCTCAGATACACGTGAATTTACTAATCATGGAGGCCCGCCTACAGGCTGAGTTGCTATACGCTCTGAGAGCCATCACTCAGTACATGATTGCCTAAGTGCTCGGAGAGGCACAAAGCTAAAACTTTCCGCCGGTACAGAGAGACCCAGAGACGCAAGGATGAAGAAATCTCAACAGCAGATGGTGACGTGGGACAAGAGCGACACTCTTAAGGACACAGAGCTCCGTCGTTTTGTAGCTGTGCCTCATGAATGTGCTTTTCTTTTTCTCAGATTTAATGTATTTATACCAGTGTGCCACACCTCCTCGCCCCTTCTGCAGATTATTTCTTTGTGAAGTCCTTTCATCAAACATCTCGGCTCTCAAAGGTTATGTGCAATTATTACTAGGGTTGTTTTAATTTTTACCTGTTGTTTTTTGTTCCAGCTCAGTCTGTGAGAAACTGCTTGTTTGTAGCAGTGTGTTACAGTGGCTAATACTCTCCTTTTTAGTTTGATCAGTCTCCTTTTGTATTAACTATGCTTTCCCAAAAAAAAAAGAAAAATCTTTTTGTACAAGTTGAATGTTAACGGGAGACCAGGGCCTTTTGTTGTTTTTGTTTTTTTGGACAATCCTTGTCAGTGTTGGAGGAGGACATTAAGTGGACCGTGAAGGACGTCAGTTTTTCTCTCCCTAACATTTCGTATTAATGCTGGTCAAGAACAAACACAACAGTGACACTGCTGGAAGTTATCACATCACTATAGTTTCTTTTAATAAGCACTTTTTTAAACTTTATATATTTATAACGCAAGGTAGCTCATTAGTAGACATTGAGCCGCACAGTGTGGGGTCTGACGCCTTTCTTCTCCACTGTACAACATGTAATGAAGATTTTTAGACTGGTTGTCTTCAAGCTTTCAGACTTTGCTTTTGTTCTCAACCCCAGATTTGCGAGTGAAGTGATTTGATCCAAAACATGCCAGTGAATTACTGAAAAGGATTTTGAAGGTAATGATGTTCGCAAAATGCCAAATTTACACCTGATGTTAAGAAAAATTTGTATCTAAAGAGGTCAGTGAGCTCTTTCCTACGGTGAAGATGAAGCTGAGCCATTTGCTGAACGATTATTTTGTTATTTGTACTGACGAGCTTCAGAAATGATCAAATCAGAGACTGAATTTCAGACCAACGGTCGTTAAAAAACTCAACTGTTCACACAAGTGAAGTGATGAATTGGAAAGATGAAAAACACCCTGAAGTAGATCTGTACTGGTCATGAGTTGAGGTTGGGTTCAGATTTTCTTTTTGCTCAAAGCTTTGTGTTAAAGCTTTTTTTGTGAGCTGTATCAAAGCTGATTATCAAGTCAAAATCCATGGTACAATTTACGAAGCAGAACAATGTGCAAACTAGTTGTTAAAACTCTTGTATCTTTTTTTTTTTGTTTTTCATTTTTATTTTTACAGTTTTTGTAAACTCTAGAGTACTTTTTTTTGTGTTGTTTCTGGGTGTGACGGTAGGACCTGCTTGTTGTGCTGCAGCCTGGGTAGACGTAGAGGTGTGACAGACTGTTTAGAGTTAGACATTAGTAACTGCAGGATGTAGAAAAGAAACAAAAGTGCATATCGACAAAAGCAAAAGCGCTGTTAACACAGGTGCCTTCAGGCTAAAACTGGAGTGCTGCTGAAGTGGAGGGATGTGACTACTGGAGGCTGAATGTGGGCTTCACTTGCAGCTGGGAAACACCCCCGACTGACAACTCTAAAACTTGTGGCTTTTCCCGCATGAATGGGAACCGTTATTTCTTGGTGTCGGTCAGCACCGTTTCTGATGAATATTACGGCTGTGAGTGCCCGTGTTCTCTATCAGACACCTTCTACGAGCCCCAGCAACACAGCAAGAGCCTTTGACACAGATGGATGTTTAAAAAATGTTCAACTTGAGCTGATTTTAAAAAAAAGGACAATTATTTAAAATAAAAAACAACCTTAAAAAAAAGAACAAGTGAAAAGACAAAAAAATGTTTTTTTGAAAATGTGAAGAAATGTTTTCTATAAAGATGTTATATGAAAATAAGATCCGGCTACTGTTGTGTTTCACTTTGTTCCACAGGATGTCTCAAAGAACCTGAACTTACCTGATCACCTTTGTCTCCCTCTGATTATAGACTCCAGTTTCAGTTAATTGACTACATGAAAATTACATGGAAATGTGAATTAGCTCATCAGTTCAACTGGCCTCCAAGGCAGGATTGACACAGGGTGAAACAGGAAATATAGTTGCAGTTCTAAGGTGATTTTAAAATGTATCTCAATCATGTTTGAAGGCTGAAAGCTGATTTCAAACCCTAGAATGAAATGAAACCTGTAGCTGCCAGCGAGGGAAGAAATTTAATTAAAGGACAGGTTCACATTTTTTCACGTCTGTTTTAAGCGCACACTCCCTTAATTAATAATTGTCCATGTTGACAGTGAAGAGACGCTTTCCTAATGTAATTTAAATCCACAGTCTTAATTCTGTTTATTCTCAAGTCAAATCAAACAGACTTCAACTGTCTGTGATATCAAGAGGTTTCTTTCAAAAGTCTTTTTAATGCAAAACTTTGTCTTTTTGTTTCCTTGGACAGCTTTTTGTGGCTGAGCTGTGGTGGAGGGATAGTAAACCATAAGTTAAACTGTTATAGGTTCGGTAGAACTTTGAGAACTGTGGATTTTGTGTCCATCACTTGCACTGGAATCACATTAGGAAGCGATCTCGTCACATCCAGTGTGGAGAAGAGGAAAGATTAGTGTCCAAAAATACACATCGGCATGGGATTGTTATTTATAGACAGATAGAAAAGTGAACCGATCCTTTAAAAACACACCGTGATTGGTAAAATACATGGTGGGATTTATTACAGAGCAAAAACTAAATAATGTATAGAATTGTTATGGTCTGTACAGCACACATGTAGCAGGTAGGAAACTTAACAAAGGAATCACTTTTATATGAGATCATTATTACTCTGTCTCATTCACCAACAGTATATTGTGATGTACATTTATATCTGCCACTACATGTAGGTACAGGATCTCTGGTAGGAGTAGTTGTATAACTGGACAACAGCATCCCCTAGTGGCAGACCTGCACAACTGACAGTCTGACTTAAAAGAAACTTGTTCCAGAATAAATGAAAGTCACAAAGTTTGCACCAACACTTCAGACAAAGTGGGTTAAACAGTTTATTGAATTTATTTCTGCTGTTCAGAACTGTTTGTCATCTCTGGCTGACTTTACAATGTGTAAAGAAAGAAAAAGACTGAAGGGGTGAAAGGGGGGGAGTTTTTCTATCAACATTAATCAAAAATCATAAACATAATTGGCTTATGCACAACTCATCATAACCTGTCAACCCCACCCGCCCCTATGGGAAAATTAGTAAGTAAAAAAAATAAAATAAAAAACCCACCCTCGCTGAATACTAAAATGTTGCATCAAATGGGGCAATTTAAAATTTAAAAACAAACATACAGGGACTAATTGCTAGTTTAAAGAAAACAATATGTAGATAGTTGTAATTACATAGAGGGGGAGATACAAGGGAAGTAATAACACCACACCTGCCCTTTTCTTTTAGGAGGCAACAGTAAACTAGAGACATCAAGTCTGGTGCAGCAGGTTCTCACAAACCGACCACCACTCCTCCTCTTACATGCTGCTGTGCATCCTAACAACTGTTCATAACATCTCCAACACCTGGACATTAGTTCAGAGGGACTGGGGGATTTGTTGCATATACAACTTTCCTAAAAATTATTACGTTATGATTTAAAATAATAAGAAAATCATGCATTTTCAACGAGCTGGTCTTCAGTTTCCAGAATTACTTAAGTGACCAGTTTGGGAAGGGGGGTCATATACATATATACATATATATGTGTATGTATGTATGTATATATATATATATATATATATATGAACATAAAAACAAAGAGGGGTAAGGACTGTGGATTGATAACACCAAATCAAGATCCTTGTGCCGTATACAGAAAATTCAAAAAGGTCCTGATATGCACCCATTGTATCATGGCGTACAGGATACGTCACAAATGACATCTAGCACCATTCGAAAAGAGAAAAAAAAACATCTGTGGAACAAAAAGAAGAAGTAGTAGAAGAGTGCTTTACAAATCAGAGACTAACATATCGACATAACTACAGTGAAATGATGAATATTAGGATTTTAAACTGCAGGGATGTTATTTCTGATCACAAAAACGTTGACGGTTATAAACAAAGAAATTAAATACAAACACAAAACACAAAATTTTAAAGGGGGGGTAGATGACAAAATAAAGTCCATCTTGCTACAGAGTAACATCATGCTATAGTGTTTTAAATATTGGCAGTCAAAAAAAAAATAAACTAAGGGAAAGGCTAGTACTGATATACATGGCTGGAGAGCTAGAATACATTTCTCTAACAAAGGGAAGTCAAATTTGAGATCAACTCGACAGAAACGTGTCCAGGAAAACAAAACAAAGACGTAATGTTGATGGTTTCCAGTCTGTAGTAACAGAGAAAATGTGTAGAATAAATATACTTTTTTGCTGTTGTTTGTTTCGTGATCTGATAACGTCTGAGCAGAATTGTTTTCCCGTCGGTTTTCTTGCGAGCAACCCTGAGAGGTAACGGTTGTATTAGTCTCGTTTTGAGATGAGAATTCTGGCGGCATGTTGAAAAGTGGGACAGTGAAGGTTTCTCTTTCCATTGTGCCACATTTCAGCGCTGATCTTTTTAAACTTGGATTCACAACTAATGCAGAAGATAATGAGGCAGATCATTGGGAATTTGAGTTCAAACGGTCAAGTATAGATGCACTTTGCATCGCTCGTCTTTCAAAGTCAGATTTCATGTTACAGGCATCATTTGCAAAGCTTATGTACACCGAGATACTGTGTCAGGCCCAAGCGCTCCCTAAATGCCATGCAAATGCAAATATTAGTGTTCCTTTGGTTATGTAAAAAAATCTACATGCATCTCATCCTTTACAAAAATAAAAGTATAGAAAATTACCGTTAGAAATTATCTGAAAATGCTTCTTCCAATGTAAAAAAACATCACTTGTCATTAGTAATATATTCATATGTATTAATATCTCATTTATTACCTCCATCTAAATTGTATATTAAAACTATAATCAAATATATTCTTTTTTTTTTGTACTTCTCACACAGTGAATTAATTCCTTGAACTGAATAATTGAAGTACTGAATATATAAAAGTGTGAGAGGATATTCTGACACCCGCAGCCCCCCTCGAACCCCCCCGACAAGATATCAGGAAAATGTTAAATAGCAAAACCCTTCAAGAAGTGATTTTTTCTTTTTCAGATTTCCTTCAAGATTTCATCTAGTTCTCCTGATAAATCTGCATAGCGTGTCGTTGTGTACGTGTGCAACGTGTACATTCAAATTGTTGTTTTCTTTACAGGATTTAAACTCTTTTTATGAAATGGTAAAACCTAATGTGGATGTATTCTCCTCGTTCTGGGTCCCCGTGTCGCAGGAACCTAAGTGCTTTGAAAACGCACAGGCTCGATGAAAAGAACAGTTAGACCATTTGACAATGGAGGCATACTGCTGTCTGAGACAATATAATACTTGGCCAACCAATCACTTGTTGGCAAATAAATTTACCCTTGAATGCCCTGTGTAATAAATTCACAAATCACATTTCTTCATCTTGTTAGTTTAACTGCACATCAGGGATTTCTAAAAAAAAAAAAAAACAACAACAACAAACACACACCCTCTAACTGACATCTACCTTAACACCAAAAATGCCAAACTGCAAATACATACCCTCTTAACTGTTGAATCACCAAATTTCATTGGAGAAAAAAAACTGCGTTATCTTTTTTCTTTTTCCTCTAAAGTGAGAAATCTTAAAATCAAACATGTTACTGTAGTCCGAGGACACAATTGGGGGAGATGTGTAGCCAATGCTGAATCTTTTTATACCTCCAGTCGTCCGGTCTTTATCTTCCACCTGTTCACAATCCTCAACGTTTTCTCCGACTCCTGCGATGAAGCCCTTTTTGTCGTGGTGCGGCAGAGTTGGGGGCACCTTTATTCAGAAGATCAAACAGCATTTGGTCTGGCAAGTTCATGCGAGGCAAGTGTCAGAGGAAAACTGGCCATTTCTCCAAAAACACACAGTCCATTGAGTCTTCAATACCAAAGCCATTGAGTACCGTATCCACCCTAAAGCTATTCTGGTGTAACTGAAATATAAACTCCCAGCAGAGGGAAGTTAATGATTTGTCTTTTCACTCTAAAAACTTTATGTCACACGTTTTTAAAAATCATCAGTTCAGATTAAAAGAAAGAAAAAAAACGGCTAGCAGCCAAATCGTTGCAAGTGTTATTTTTTTTTTTTCAAAAAACAAAAAGGGAGAAAAATTGTGCATAGTAGCCTGAATCTCCTCCCTGTCCTCTGCATGTCTTGGCACATGACATGGGTGAGGTCTGGTTTTGTCTTTAAAGTGAAGCATCGTATTTGAAAATAGTATCTCCAGCCAGCAGGGAGGAGTAATGCACCGGTCGCTTTATCGTTCTGTGAGGTTATCTTGATTGGTGATCAGTTCCTGCAAGACAAGAAGATATAAAGTTCATTTGTGTTGTTGTTTACTAGCTCATTAACACAGGTTATGTAAGTGATTAGGTCATACATTGGCATCAATGTACACATACACACAATCCATGTGCAGTGCTGTGCATGGACTGTAGAACTAAATCAATCAGCAACAATTTTTGAATAATCTCTTAAACTATCAATTGTTCAGCAAATTGATTGTTTGGTCTAAAAAATGACAGAAAACAGTAAAAGAAAAAAATGCTCATCAGGACCCAACGTGACGTCTTCAAATGTCTTATTTTGTCCCACAAACAGTCTAAAACCAAAATATATTTAATTTACAACTATATAAAAAAGAGAAAGGAATCAAATTCTCACATTTAACAAATGTTTCACTTTTTCATCAAAATGATTGAAAATGAATGAAAATCAATCAACTAATCAATTAACAATTGTCTATTGAGACAAAACATGTTCTTATTCCACCGACCTGAATGTGAGGATTTGCTAATATTTTACTTTATGTTTGTCAGTTGAATACAATAACAGACATTTCAAGTTGTCACCTTAGAAACGTTTCCCAATTGATCAATAACGTCAGTGTACCTGGCTAACTGCGTGTGGTCAGCGGAGGAATTAGCTGGGTACCCAGCTGTGAGCGGAGCCCTGTGTGGTGGCTGGGCCTGCATAGCCTTGGCCTCCAGGCAGTATGGGGTCAAAGTTGAAGTCAATGCCATCTCCGTCCATGAGGTCACTGTTGATGATGTAGTCCACGTCACAATCCAGGTTTTCGGTGAACATGTCAATGTCCAAGTCTGTGGGCAGTCGGTCCTGACCGGTCGGGAAGCAGGACGGAGCTCCGAACTGACTCATCCCCTGCAGGCTCACGCTGGGATTGGCTGAGGCGACGTGGTGAGAGCCCACCGCTGGCACCGTGGCATGCTGGGCCTTGAGAGCAGAGAGCTGTGATGGGTCCTGAGACATACCTGAGAGGATCATCCCCAACCCCATCTGAGAGTGATGCTGGTGTTGTTGCTGCGGCTGCTGTTGCTGCTGCTGGTGCGGCTGCTGCTGGTGAAGGTGATGCTGCTGCAGCGCCATCGGTGCCACCGTGTTCGGCTCCAGTCCTTTACCCAACAGCAGCTGATTGGGTTTGGACCTCACACCCACCACGGACGTGCCCATGCCCATCATGCCCACCCCTCCAGGACTGGGCATGAGGGGATCCACCTGGGTCATCATGACGTCGCTCGGAGGAGGGGAGTCGGAGGTGAGCAGCGCCTCCAGGCTGGAAGGCACGTGGGTGCTGTAATGGCCGCTCCCACGAGAGCCGGAGCCGGACATGGGGTTGAAGAGGGAGTTGCTGAAGGTCGACGGCTCTTTGCTGCTGGGACCACACTGAGAGATGGAGGCCTGGGTCCCGGTGTGAGCGGGGGCCTGCGGGAGGTTGGATGACTGCAGCTGGTGGAAGGAGGAGAAGCTGGAGCCGCGAGGCAGCAGAGTGGAGGCGGAGGGTAGCGGAGTGGGAGGTGCAGGTGGGGCTGTACTGGGACTGGCCCCTCCCTGCTGCCCCGTCATCAATGTAAGGCCGTCGATCAGATCCAGCTCCTCCATGAGTGTCTCGGTGAGGGTGGGGGTCAAGCTGCTGGCAGTGTATCTCCCCAGCAGTGAGTCCTCGGGCAGGTTGTCATCGTCCTCCTGTCCAGGGGCGATGGGGGACAGGCGTCCACTCAGAGTGCTGGCGTTGGAGCTCGTGCGTGGGCGGAACGTGGTCCACATGTCGGTGTCATCCAGGCTGCCGCGGGACGAGGGGCTGCTGCTGTTAACCCCCCATTTGGGAAACTGCTGGGACGAATTTGGGCTGTCTGCGCCCGCTGAGCCCGTGCTGCCGTCACCCTGCACCCCTCCAGCGCCCGCCAGGCCGGCTGCTCCCGCCTGCTTCTTGGTCTGCTTGGCCCTCATGCGGCTCTTCAGCAGTTTGCTGCTGTTGTCCATGGAGGCAGCCCGGCGGCGAGGAGCTTTCCCGGTCTTCCCTCCTTCCGGGTTGAGCATCCACCAGGAGCTCTTGCCTGTGGACTCATTGTGAACCCTCAGGAACTTGTTGTGGAGTGATAAATTGTGGCGAATTGAATTCTGAAGGAAACAGAGTAAGATCATTTAATTATGAGAAATGTAAATTATGCAGATTAAAAGTGGATTTATTTTTATTATTAATCACTAACAGTAAATAATGTGTCACTGCCAACGTTTAAATTATCCTACTGAGACTAAAGCACCTGGAAATAGGTCAAAGGATACTTCTGTGGGCTCACGTGACAAATAACAGAATAAAAAAATAATAATCTTAATTCAGTATATATTATTTTCCTTTGCCTGTTTTAATATTTTTAAAAGGGTCAAAACTTATAGACAAATTCAAACTGTTGATGGTCGTAAGTAGTTATTTATTCACTTTGTTTCAAAGAGTTACAAACCAGAAAAGGTTGGCGAACACTGAACTAATACTACAAAAGTATTTACTAACTCAGATTTATCACAGATCTTAACTGTCCTGCAACAGGAAATTATCTTTACAACAAGTAAAGTTAATAAATCATTGTCTGCTGATTGATTAACATCTCATCATCAGTCAATGTGAACATCAGATTCTTTACACCTAAAATAATAAGTAATAAGTTCCTCTGATTGCTGTGATATTTTCTTCTGTGGCCTAACATGAACTGTTGAGCTCTAAATCTACATTATATAATATATATATAATATATATAAATATATATATATACACACTACACAAAAGTTCACTCACCTTCCAGCCGGCTGAGCTGTTGCTGTCTCCTTTGTCTCTGAAGTAAGGCACTGTTTTCACCATCCACTCGTAGATCTGCGCCAGTGTCAGTCTCTTCTCAGGTGAGTTTTCGATGGCCTGACTAATCAGATCAGCGTAGCTCTGGTTCCCCCACGCGTTGCGCCTGGATGATCCTTTGCGGGGCGTCGCTCCGGCTCCGCCCACGCCGGCCCCGACCCCACCCTCGGCCGCCGCAGCAGCCTTCTCTGGCTCGGACGTGATTTGCTGCGGCTCGGGCTTGTCCTCGTCGGCGGGCGGGGTCCCGGCGGCGGACTCGGTGCCATCCGCGCCCTCCGGTTTGACAACCGAGATGTCCGGTCTCGGCAGGGGCCACGTGCAGGAGCGGGGTCTGCTCTGAGGCTCGAAATCTGGGTCAATGGGGGGCACAGACGACTCCTCCATGGCGGTCCTCTGAACGTCCACTCAACCAAAGAAAATATGGGACCTCTTAAAACATCTACCTTTAAATTTTAAAGGTAACTTTGAGCGAGTGAGGCGTTAAAAAAAAACCCCAAAACAACAAGTTACTGACACAAAAACAATATGGTTGACCCACCGCGGGGGTGTAAACAGAGGGGCCTGGAGAGGAGACGTAATAATCTGGACACACCAATAGCCTCGGTTAATCCTCAGATTGGAGATTAGGGAACCCAAATAATCTCCTTAATAGTAACTATCATAAACCTTCCGATTTATATAGAATGAAGGAGGGCTGGGAGGAGAGTCCCTTTGTTTGAATGAAATAAAAACAAAGAGTGAGTGGCAATGAGCACCAAAACATCTGGATCTACAGAGGTTCTGGCTCACCTGGACATGAATGATAAAAACTCAAAGGTATACGGACACAAAATAAAGACATTCCTGTTTAACAAACAATATCAGTCTAATGTTGTAAAAGGTGTAAGACAATTTAAGGCAATGTGTCTGAGAATAAATCTAAATTAAAGGTTAATTCGTACCAAACGTGTCCAATGAATCATTATGTAAAACAGTCAAACTGGGGATTTGTTTTACTGTAAAGCTATGAAGACTACAAACAGGGATTAGCTGTCTACTGTTACAAAGGATCTACTCAGGAGAGCCCCTGTCCGTCTACACTTGTAAACAACGTGATGTCTGGGAGCTCCACAAGCCAAACAACTCGACCCAAAGTTTAAAAAAAACAACACAAAGGTCCCTCAAACAGTCACAACACAGTCCGGATAAACGAAAGCAAAGTGTGGAAACAGAAGATTGTCCCAGCAACGGGTTTATTCGCCCCCAAAAACAAAGTATAAACTGAGTGTGGAGACGTTGTCCGGGTCCCTTTGGCCTGTTTAAAGCCGCTGTGACTGAACCAGAGGAAGGTCGGGTGAGGAGGAAGAGGAGGAGGAGGAGGAGGCAGAGTGGGTTCAAGTGTTAAATAGTGTTTAAGTTCATTAATAAAAAAAAAAACGTAGAAAAACAAAGTCTAAAGATGAGAGAAATGTACGTGAGAAAAGGTCCGTGTTGCCTTCAGGTCTGCACGATCCGCCACATTGCGGCCAGGCGCATGTCACCATCTGCCATGTTTCTCCACACTGCTGCCGCGGCACACGATGCTCGGAGAGGCGGCTATAAAACCCCCTCGACCGGGGCCCGGAGCTCGGACGATCCCCGCCGGTGGGTCTCGGTAAACTAAGTACAAAAACGATTTCCCGGGTGTTGTGTGAAGTTGTGTGGTTTCGGAGGTCTGTCGGTCTCCCACTCGCCGCACTTTGAAAACAGCACGATAGCCTCCGTAACGTTAGCTGGTTAAGCTCCTGCTACTCCAGAGTTTACAATCCGGGGAAAAGTCCGTGAAATGCCTCCGGTAACTTCCACCAAGTAGCGGCTTTTATTCAGAGACGACTTTTGTAAAAGTTCCTGTCGGTGTGTCTGTCCAAATATCAGCTCCTTCACTGTCTTTTTGACTTGTTTTGTTTTGTTTTGTTTTGACTCGAGGCGAAGACTCCCTTCTGACGTCTGTTTACCACTGTCAAGCAACGCGTTCTGCGCCTGCGCGGAGTGGCCTTCTGGGAAACCGAGTCGTTCATCTGACAGCACAGGCGTAAACAGCAGCTAAAGGGGGGCGACATGTACTTGTAATGGTGCATTATGTAACAGTGTGTGTGAAAGTGTGTTAAGTCCCAGATACACTTTTTAAGGTATCAGAGATAATTAGAGCACTGATACTAGTAATAGACTACAACTACTTAAACTACAAAACAACATGTGTCAAGAATTAATTACAACAATACAATTGTACACGTTAACGTCAGTTGTCTATAATAACACCTTTATAATGTTGTAATCCTGGTTTCTAACTCTATTACATAATTCATTCACTAAATGAAAAACTATGAATCAATTGATTCATTTTAATGTTCTACTTGATCTGATCTTGTCCTGACATTTACCGTTTGTTCCTTTTCTGTTTTTCTTTTTCCTTTTTGTTGTTTTGTCTCTGTGTAGTCTCTTCATCAAATTTGGTTTAATTGTATGCTGTTTTCTTTGTCAGTTTGTTTGTGTAATTGTGTACTTTTTGTTGTTGGTACATCTCATGAGGTTATTCCTAATAAAGAAGCTACGACAACAGAGTTCATGTTTTGTTTGTCCACGTCCTCTACTGCATGCTGTGTTTAACATGTTAAGGGTTCCTCTTTGGGCCCTATAGACCACCCCAAAAACACTGCCCTCTGTGCATTGTATGTGTACTCTGTCACTTCCTGTCACATTTCAGAGAATAAATAATAGTTAGTAATAGTTATGAAACGGCCTCAATTTAATGCCTCTATATGTCTGACCTACATAAGCACACAAGACCATCAGCCAGGTGAGATTCGGTTGGATTCCCCCTTGAAATCAATTAAACAGGGCGGTGTGAAACCACCGGGGGCACCAGAAATTGCAGGTGTGATATAAATATAGTAGACATAGTAACAAGCTTTATTTGTTGCCTGTGGTTTTCTTTGTCAAGCACCAACCGACACACTGTCAGTGAAATAGGCTACTGGCTGTACGAGGAGGGCCTGCTTGAGCTTTTTAAAATCTGCCCCACCTGCTCAAGAGAACACTCCTGTCTGTGACCCAGAAGTGTCTCTACTACAGTAGCTTATACACCAGAAAATGGGAGAGTCAGCCTCTTCTGGGCAGCTCTCCAGCAGGGACTCTGTCACTGTCTACTACACAGGCTCGTCTTTCGTCCAATAATGACATAATATAGAAAAGTCTGTTGTCTCAAACAGGTTTTTTTCCTTGGTACAATCTACTCTACTTACATTTCCATGTCTAGGGCCAGGGCATCCCACATCACTAGAGTAGGATGTACATGTTATAGAGGTACTTTCTGATTTTACATTACAGGAATGAAGTACACATGAGCTTCACCAATGATTGATTAGTTTCTTGATTGTCTCAGTGCAGTTATGTCACAAGGGACAAGGTTGTGTCCAAACACTGCAACAGGGAAACTCTTGGGACAGTCTGAGTATTACATCTTGACTTGTAGTTTGTACAGTGGGAAGCATCGTCTGAAAAGGAAGGAATGATCTGGAGTCTGGAATAAAGATCCCCTCCAGACATATTAAGACATTTATACAAAGAGTCTGTTTGAAACAAAAATGTGTTTCTGACATGTTTTTTCTGCCAAGAAAGTTTAATTTCCACATTGAAATCCTTAAAAATGACTTCTATCTACTCCTCATCTACTTCATTGAAAAGTCCTGTACATAAATATGCAAATGTTGTTCATTTCTAAAGTTTTCCTGCTGGACACAAGATGTCTTCTACTTCACTGTAAAGTCCATTCTCAGTGTCTGTGCACTGGTGACTTCAAGTTTCTACATCACAGTTGTATAAGTTGTATACTGGACCAGTATTTATTAATGGTAGGCTCATTAGGAAAATGTAGTTTATTGATTATTTATAGCACAGCTAATCCTGACATGACATATTTTCAAACTGTTTCTCAGCAGGTGGACGTCATCCCCAAAGAGAAGAACAGCAGATCAAATTGTGGCAAAAGATCATCGATGATCACGTCTACTGGTCCGCATCTGGATCATCATCTGGATCATCATCTGGATCAGGAGTGGAGAGGAAACAGTGGCAACCACATCCACAATGTGCATGTCCATGAAAATCCACTCTTCCCCAAGTGCCTCCACGCCTGTCTGCTGAAGTGGCTGAAGCCTGGTACAACATTATTCAGTAGTAATTATGTAATTTAATCATAATAATATATTTTCAGCTGTCTACTATATATTTGTATTGTCTTTTCCCTCTAAACATGACGTGGGTTGTACTAGTGTCACAGAACAAGAAAGGAACTCTTTAAACTTGAAAATGTTTCTGTGGTTATAGACTTATGTAGAATACATTTACTAAAGTTATTACTTAAGATAAATTATATCCCAGTAGAAAGTGTTTAGTCTCTTGATGAACATTTTGTTTTATGGGTTTTTTTTTTATTGATAACTTGGAGCTGCTCTCATTGTTTCAAGGTATAATTTAGATTGACCTGGATTTAGATGATAACATTAAGATTTACAACTTGATAGGAGACTTTTTTTCTTAATACTTATGACTCTGTTAATCATTTTACTGGATACTGATAGAGAGCTGCAGGGTTTTAGAGGATTTTCTGTGAATGGTCTTTTGTTGCGTGAACATTTGGATGAGAGGAACCTAACAAACAGCATCTGTCAGATCGTAAAACTGATTTTATTGTATTCTTGTGATACCAAATACACCCATATCTGACTCCATCTCTGAAGTGTTATTTACTTACGCTGTTCCTCATTAGTTGAGTCATGGCTAAGCGGAAACATGGCTTCCTGTGTAAATGCTACTGAGATTCCAGGTGTCTTATAGCTGCCATGACTCACCTGATGGCTCATGGGATCAGCATCAGGAACCACGTATCATGTGCTATCTGCGGCTTTTGCCCTCATGTTCCCCCAAAAGCTGGATCAGTGAGTTCAAACATCTTCACCACTGGTTGGATCTTCATCTTGAGAGGCTTTAAGATGTGATTAACTACAGGCAGACGGTGAATAGACAAAGATCTGTTTTAATTCATGTTAACCTTTTCTTTTAATGTTGAGTTGCTGTTAAAATCGATGATAACTGAGTTGCTTAAATTGACTTAAAAATCCATTTCTGTCTCAGTCACTTGGTCCACTGCCACCGTCCGTATTGCACAAGCTTCACATTTGATAAACTGGTTGAGCAGGAAATTTCACCGTCTCCAAGGAGTTTGCTCAGTTGTCATGGTGATGATCTTCATGACAACTGAGCAGACTCAACCTGCTGATGAAAACTGTGTGGTATGGTTCTGGGGAAAAAGCCAGTAAGTTGACCTGAAGTTGGTACTATTATGAAAATTCATGAACACTGACTTTAGTACCGGGACTAATTCATAGTCGTGTTATTGATGTTTTTATTTTATTAATTACGTTATCAGTCTTCTTACCTGGTGAGTTTACATCTTTGAACTGCAACATTTTATTTTGTTCCTTTGTTTGCCAAAGCATGACGTTATTTGTGCAATTATTGTGAGATGTTTTAACTTAACATTTATCTAAACTGTCTGTATATTTAAATATATATAAATATATAAATACACGAGGGATGCATCAGATTAATAATCAGGTTTCACTCTGAATGCAGTAGACCTCCACCAAGCAGCAGAAACGTCCCTGCAACATCTCTAGTATGAGATAACATCACAGTGATTGATTCACCCGTTCTGGACTTCAACTCCCAGCAGCGTTTGCGGTCGTTGTCTGTGTTTACAACCAGCTGACATCCGGCGTCTTCCCGTCCATTAGCCACAGACATCCACAGTCAACGATATCCATCGACACTCGATATTTTCCTCATGAAAACCGCAACCCGCTGATTCCTCAATTCACCTGAATGCAAAAGTTCATCGTCACCATCAGATGCAGGTGAGCTCGAGACGACGTGAGCTGTAGTTAGCCAGTTAGCACGCAGATAGCCAGCGGTAGCAGCTAATGCTAACTGTAGCAGAAGCCTTCCTGTTCCGCAGGATCTCGGTTTCCACGACTGTCAGGACGAAACTCGGTGCTAGTTGATGTGGTCGAGCGAGATAAATGTTGTACTTGTGTAACAACATCGACTGTTTCAGTAGCAGTCAGCAGCGATGGAGGATGTTAGCTAACACAGGAGGAGACTTAACGCTAAGCTATTAAGCTCGACGCTGCCGTAGCCTGACAAGCTAACTTTATTATTTTAAAATAATACCAACCAGTGGTGAAGTGAGTCTGTTTGCGGGATGCCGATATGATTTCAGGTAACGTCGTCAATCACGTGCAGGTGTGAGGTTTGATTAATGGTGTTTGGGTGTGTTAGCTGTAGCGTTAGCGACATGTTTGCTCGGTGGATAATGGATGGTGTGCAGTGCAGTTACGGTGCCAGGCGGTGGGAAGCAGCAGCAGCCCCTCACAGTGTTTGTGTTGTTTGTGTTGTTTGTGTTAAGGGCTCTGGCCCCGTCTCCAGCAGCTGAAGCACACCAGTCCTGTCCTCTCTGCTCCACGTCCACGGCCTTCCTCCTGTCTGAGCCATGACCACCCAGAGGGATCTTGATATGGTGAGTGAGGGTCTGCCACTTATTTCTGAACTTATTGTCCAACAGCAACACAGTGCTTAGGTTATAATCTTTGTTTGTTTCTTCTCTGCACTGTAGTTTGTCACATATATTGCTGCTGCATGATATATAGATGATAATATTTGATTGTCATAGTGACAACATTACAAAGATTTTCCCCCCTAAATTGAAATAATCTCGGGGTTTGGGAGTGAGGGTAGGAAAGGGGGGGGTCACGGATTAGCCAGCGTCCACAAACACTTAGCTGGGACAGTGACTGCTGCTCCTGTGAACACCATCTGTCTAATCTCAGTTAAAACGTTGCCCTACTTTCCTTTCAAGGTTTAGATGCCAATTGATTGTAGCCTCTTAATGAATTTGGACCCCAGTCCCCCCCCCCCCAGAGTGATGGACCACACTTATTGAGAGACAGATCAGAAATGATAGTAGAAGTTATATAGATCTGTTAACTGTTAATGATGCCTGGCTGTCGGCTGTCTAACCTGCAGGCATTTAGTGCTGGAATAATTAGTCAATTAATCTATTGACAAGAAATTAATGAGCAACAGTTTTGGGGCTCACCTGGTGGAGCGTGCACCCCCATGAATGAAGTCCTTACTGCTGCGGCCCGGCCGCCCAGGCACTTTGCTGTGTGTTATTTCAGCCTTTCCAGTCCGTATCTCCATCTGTTGATGTCTAAATTTATTAACTGATTTGTTGATCAGACAGAACAAGACATTGTAATACGTCAACTTGGGCTTTTGGAAATTGTTTTTAATTATTTTCCGGACATTTCTTAAACCAAACATTTGTTTAATTGAGAAAATAATAAGCAGATTGTTCTCAATATAAAAAATATTTATTTGTTGCAGCCTTTGAAACACTCGTTGTTTTTATTTGTAGCACACGTCCTTCCCGTCAGAACATTTTTATAAATCGTTGTCCATCCAGGACACCTGCATCAGGTAAATAGCCACAGCGAGGCAGAGTGAGGTTTAATGGATCATCTCTCTTGGCAGCTACTGTGGGGCATTCGACTGTTGGTTATGTTTTTAGGAATCTTGACCAACGTCAAAAATAGATCAGCCTTTGGTTGCTCTGTGTACCCTGTGAAAGTAATTTACTACAGTGTTTCAAGGATGTCATGTCCTGCTTTCGATTGGAGAACCTCAAGGACGTTTGTGATGCAGGATGTTGCCACGGGTAACAAGGCAGATTTGACTTTGTTGTTATTTTGTTGGGGATGAAAGGGCTAGTGGAGGGGATGGGGACAAAGCATGTTAATGATGACATGGGTATGTAACCCCACATTGAGGTTATTCAGTTCAGAGGGGGGAGGGGAGGGCAGAGGACCACCGCGGGAGGATTGTATTTGTAAACAGATCAGAGAGTGGGGTCGTCCCTCCCTGACGTCACACCTCGTGGTTAAGTCTCTTTGTTCTCGCCTCTGTGATTTGTGAACCAAAGAAAGTTCATGTGCCACCTTTTGAAGAAGGGCAAATGTCAGGGAAAATTAATCCCTCCTGTCAATTCAGACTCTTGAGTAGAGACGTCCCAGTACAAAGATTTAGTTGATAGGATGTTTTTTTAGTTGTATCATCATTGATTAGAGGTGCTGGATTAATGTATTAATAAGGAACAATACTTACTGCAGCATAAACTAAAAGACTACGGTCAAAGTTGATCAATAATTCAGATCAAAGTGATGTTTCAAACCTGACCATGAGCTGACTATAATATTTAATATAAAAGTAAAATCATGATTGCAAATGCTTCACTATTGATGACCTATTCACATTATTGGAAATCGGCATCAATAAAAAGAGTTACCTTTGCACACTCACTCCAAACCACAATTTATTTAAATAGACATCTATGAAGTATATTAAAAAGATCCTTTATATATCCAAAATAGTTGTTAGGTGAGAGGAAACATTCAAATATTGTACATGATTACAAGAAATAAAACATATTTTACCAGAAAAACTCCACTTACATACATAATATTGTTCTGTTAACATTACATTATGATGTTTATGGTTAACCCCACCGACAGTTTGTCAGCCTATTGCTCCAAAATACGCATGTAATCGTTGTGTTATCCATTTTTAGACATTTGACATTTGGTCAGTGTGCAGACGTCTGAAGTCTGTCACTCATCGACATCCACTTCCCTGGTGACGCTCCACTGTCGTTAATTGAGTTGAGTTATTGTTTCACGTTTGAGGGGAATGTTATCTTCAGACTTTAGCTGGTCTGGGCTGAGGTTAGGTGATTGGTTCGGCGTGCCACTCCTCTGTTGTGTTATCTGTAGGATCATTGTCCTAAAGTTGGTGGACTATATATAGAATCTCCCACTGTTCACTTAGGGATGTGACCGCCCTCACACACCCTTAAAGCTGACAGTCTGCACCTCAAACTCATTGTCAGTGTTTTGAATCAAACAAAGCAAAAATTTTCCCGGGTCTTTAATGGGTAAAGACAGCTGAAGGTAGACAGGAAAGCGGGGAGAGAGGAGAGGACATGCAACAAAGGGCCACAGGCTGGAATTAAACCCGGGTCGCTGCTGTAAGAAGTCCCTAAACGGGGCGTGAAGTGAGCTACTGGTTTGCACCGATGTTGCTTTGTTTTAATCCAGCGAAAAGTCCACATAAGACAAAGAAATGCAGCCGGTCCTCGTTATATCATGTAATGTTTGGCACTTTCTACATAAAAAATAATGATAAGTTAATTATCAAAATAGTTGATAATAGATTAATAACAATTAGTTTTTTTAAAGGTTTTGTTCCTTCCATACACACAAGAAGTAATAGATTGGGTCTATAGTGTAATATTTAGGCCTTCGAGCGATGTTAGACAAGCAACTTCTTTTTAGTTTTAACAGATTGGTGTGTGTAGTTGCCAGAGGATAACATTTGAAGGAAGCCCCACTGTTAAAGACCCTCCCACACACACACACACACACACACACACACACACACACACACACATACATGCACAGTCCCCCCTCGGGGCTACGCACTGGCCATGTAAATTTAATAACATGGCCCAGAGCTGTCTGGGACACCTGGGGTTATCGCATTAGGCCAACAGCCCGGAGAGGAGCTCGCGGCGCCCTGGAACTAAAGGGCCAGTGTTCCCCCCTCAGCCCCACCCTTATCTGTTGTCGTCTCTGGTAACAGGGGCTCACTTCAGTGTAAGCCCTCAGTGAATGAAGTCGCCCAGTCAAGGGGTGGAGATCTGGTGTGGATAAATCTAATTAGACTGGAATGCCCCTCTCTTCACAGCCTTCTGAAGGTCATCTCATGTCTGGAGAGGTTAGAGGAAGAGATTCCACCACGACTAATTAAGAAGAACGTTAAAGGAAGTGTGGTGTTTGTGTCGGGCCAGGGCGACGTTTCTGGGGACTAAAATTAAGCTGTTTTTGTTTGTTGTTTTAGGTGCACCTCCGCCTTATCCTGGTCAGTGGGAAAACACAAGACTTTACTTTCTCCCCAAATGACTCGGCCACAGACATCGCCAAGCATGTGTTTGAGAACTGGCCTGCAGGTACATTTTTATATGATTGATTCTTTTTAGTTTTAAGTTTCAGTTTATATATTTCACAGATTGTATTACTTTGCACACAGTTGTCCATCTGATTCAGTCACTGTCAGTTTCTGCAAATCATTATGAATAATAACAATATTGTATTTAATTTTAATAGAATGATTAACTGTTAATTGTTCAGTTTCCTTTGCTGTAGCAGTCATCTTGCCACTGTGGCACTACTACTAAATGAAAACCTTGTATACACTGTTCATATTAAAATGAACTTGAGCTAATTTTACCACAAATTTAAAAATTCTCAAGTGATTTGGTTTGCTAATAACAGTATTTATGGTGTAAGATAGACAGAAGACAATAGACCACTAAATCATCCAGTCTGATATATCAACCAATATTAGATTATTGCAGATATGTTGGTATCAATGTTTATCTCCATATGACATTTTTATAATTATTTTTAACTGTAAAAACACCTGTATCA